GATGACACAGGGACACGGGGACATGGCGACATGGGGGACACGGCGCTGTCCCCAAGCCGTCCCCCGTGTCCCGCAGCCACCACTCGGGCGAGGTGCCCGTGGGCGCCTTCTGCCGCGTGGCCGGCGCGGCGGCCGCCCCCTGCGCCCTGGGCGCCCTGGAGCAGCAGAACTTCCTCTTCCAGCTGCAGGCGCCCGAGCGCGGCCCCGAGGACGCCCGCGAGGTGAGGGGACACCGGGGACATGGGGACATGGTGGGGATGGGGACATTGTGGGGACACTGCGGGGACAGGGACACTGGGCACGGGGACACTGCAGGGACAACGGGATGGGGACACCGGGAACGGGGACGTTGTGGGGACACTGCAGGGATGCTGGGGACGGGGACATTGTGGGGATGGGGACATTGTGGGGACAGGGACACTGTGGGGATGGGGACACACAGCGGGCTGGGGAGGTACAAGGGGACAAAGGAGGACAAAGGGGGGACAAGGAGAACAAAGGGGGCGACGAGGGGCACGAAGGGGGGACAAGGAGACAAGGGACAATGAGGACAAAGGAGTGACAAGGGGACAAGGAGGACAAAGGAGGGACAAAGGGACAAGGAAGGACAAGGAGAACAAAAGAGGGATAAGGAGGATAAAAGACGGACAAGGAGGACAAGGGAGAGCAGGGAGGGACAACAGGACAAGGGACAAGGGACAAGGGGGGGKGGGAGGGGTGTGGCGGCGCCGGGACCCGCCACTGTCCCCGCGTCCCGCAGGGCCTCGAGGTGCCCTTGGTGGCCGTGCTCCAGTGGTCGACGCCCAAGCTGCCCTTCACCAGCAGCATCTTCACCCACTACCGGTGAGGCCACTGTCCCCGAGGGGGGCTGTCCCCAAGGGGGGAGCCCTGCGTCACTGTCCCCAAGGGGACCTGTCCCCAAGGGGGGAGCCCTGCGTCACTGTCCCCAAGAGGAACTGTCCCCGGGGGGGAATCTGTGTCACTGTCCCCAAGGGGACCTGTCCCCAAGCGGGGGAGCTCTCCACCACTGTCCCCAAGGGAGCTCTCGGTCACTGTCCCCAGGGCTCCTCCATTGCTGTCCCCACGGGAGGTGACACCTGGGTCCCCACGTCCCCCAGGAAGGAGGGGGATCCCAGCGGGGGGGGATCCCTTCTGTCCCCTCCGCCCCCTGCGTCCCCGTCCCCTCCGTGGGGACTGGGTCCTGTCCCCTGTGTCCCTGCGGTGTCCCGTGTCCCCATGGGGGTGTCCCTGTGTCCCCAGGCTGCCCAGCATCCGGCTGGAGCGCCCGCGCCTCGTGCTGACGGCGGCGTGTGAGTCGCCCGTGCGCGCCCGCCAGCCCTTCACCGTCACCTACACGCTGCGCAACGAGCTGCAGGACTTCCTGGCCGTGCGGCTCGTGTGGACGCCGCAGGCCGCCGGTGCGCGGCGCGGGGGGACGCGGGGACAGCGGGAGGGGACGGGGGGACACGGGGACAGCGGGAGGGGATGGCACAAGGAGACGGGGATGGGGACAGCAGGAAGGGACAGAGACTGGGATGGGGACAGTGGGAGTGGGACAGGAGGGGCCGGGGGGGACTGAGAGGTGACAGGGATGACCAGGAGGGGCCAGGAGGGGACAGGGATGGCCGGGAGAGGACGGGGCTGGCCGGGAGGGGACAGAGGTGACCGGGACGGGCCAGGGGTGGCCGGGACGGGCCGGGGTGACCAGGAGGGGCCAGGGGTGGCCGGGAGGGGACAGGGGTGGCCGGGACGGGCCGGGGTGGCCGGGAGGGGCCAGGGGTGACCGGGACGGGCCGGGGTGACCAGGAGGGGACAGGGGTGGCCGGGAGGCGCCGCGGTGGCCGCGGGGCCGGGGGAGCCGACGGCGGCGCCGTCCCCAGGGAAGAAGGTGTCGGGGCCGGAGCGGCGGGCGGCGCAGGCCGCGCTCGACGCCATCGTGTGCCACTCGCCGCTCACCAACGTGGGCTCCTCGCGCAAGGGCAGCGCCCGCAGCATCCGCGTCGCCTTCGAGGCGCTGCGCGGCGGCCTCTTCGAGGTAGGGCCGCCTGCTCGCCGGGGCCCCTCACGCGGGGGGGTCCCTTGAGCACCCCGGACGCCGGGGCCCCTCGGATGGGTGGGTCCCCGGGCTGCCCGGGCCCGCGGCTGAGGCGGCGCGCGCAGCTCTCGCAGCACATGAAGCTGAAGCTGCAGTTCACGGCGAGCGCG